AAAGAAATGAAAATTAGAACAGCCTGCAAGTTCATTTAGCAAAGATTTGAAAGCCTGCTAATACCCAGGTTGGTGAGAATGGAAAAGAGGCACTTATTTACTATTGGGCGAGAAGTTGGTACCATACACACAGAGGGGCAGTTTGATGTGACAGCCCATATGAAAAGTAAAGAGGTTCACAGTTTTCATCCCCAAACTTCATATCTTGGAAATGATTCTAAGGAAACAATCAGACTAGTAAACAAAGATGTATGTGCCAGGAATTTTATTCTTCATAAATTTGTTGATAATAGTTGTTTAAAAATGAGTTTGTATCAAGAAAAAAATCTTATGTGACAATTAGCAGTGATGACAGGTATCTATATTTATTGACCTGGAAAGATTATTTGTATGTATGTATGTATATATGTATGTATGTATGCATGCATGTATGTATGTATGTTATGTATGTATGTATATGTATCTAAATGTATCGGGGTGACATTGGTTAATAAAATTATATAGGTTTCGAGTGCACAATTTGATAATACATCATCTATATATTGTATCGTGTTCACCACCCAAAGTCAAATCTCCTTCCTTCACCATTTATGTGACTCCCTTTACCCTTATCTACCTCCTCCTTCCCACTTTCCCTCTGGTAGCAACTAAACTGTTGTCTGTGTCTATGAGTTTTTTGTTTGTCTTGTTCGTTTGTTGCTTTCAGTTTCATATCCCACATATAAGTAAATCACACAGTTCTCAGAGTTTTCTGACTTAATTCGCTTAGCATGATAATCTCAAGATCTATACATGTTGTCACAAATGGCAGTATTTCATCTTTTCTTATGGCTGAGTAATATTCCCTTGTACATATGTACCACATCTTCTTTATCCAATTGTCTACTGAAGGGCACTTCAGTTGTTTCCATGTCTTGGCCACTGTGAATAATGCTGCTATGAACATCGGGGTGCATATACCTTTATGGATAAAAATTTTCAAATTTTTTGAGCAGAGAACCAAAAGCGAGATTGCTGGGTCATATAGTAATTCTATTCTTAATTTTTTGAGGAACCTCCATACTGTTTTCTACAGTGGCTGTACCAGTTTACATTCCCACCAGCAGTGTACGAGGATTTCTTTTCCCCCATAACTCTCCAACACTTGTTATCACTTGTCCTGTTGATGACAGCCATTCTGACAGGTGTGAGGTGGTGTCTCATTGTGGTTTTGACTTGCATTTCCCTAATAGTGAAGTTGAGCATCTTTTCATATGTCTCTTGGCTATTTGTGGTTCTCTTGGGAGTAGTGTCTATTCAGGTCCTCTGCCCATTTTTTAATTGGATTATTTGTGTTTTGTTGTTGTTCAATCGTGTGAGTTCTTTATATATTTTGGATATTAACCCCTTATTGAAGGCATTGTTTTCAAGTATCTTCTTCCATTGGAAAGGTTATTTTTAAATGAACAAAGCGGTTTATAAAGCAGCATGTATAGGATGTTCCCATTTTTTAAAAAAATTGTTATATCTGTTTTTGTATATGTGCAGAGAAAAGTTTAGAATGATGTATAATGTTACAATGATTTTGCTGTGGATTTTAAACCTCAGTTATTAAACAGGCAGATATAAATGTCAATGTCTTTCTTTCTCTATAACTGAGCTCATTTTGGCTCTTAAGCCCCCAAACTTCTTATTTCCATTTGAAACTAACTCAGTTTCATATTGTTTAATGCTCAGTCCCTTTTAGATAACTACCCATTGAGTCCTCCTTTCGTTTCCCTGGGAATGACTTACAGATTGCCCTGTCATGAGAAGAGGTGTCAGTGACATGCTCTCCCTGGTCCTCCACCAAGGAATCACTCATCTTTCCTGATTTCCACCTTCTTGTGCTCACATTGGCTACACATGTCTGACTTTTGCTCCTCTCAAGGTCCTTGAAATCAGTCAGCACTTGGTCTTCAATCATGGCTTTTTGTGGGCCCACCATTTTGTCCAGAGTGAATTCTGACAGCCTCTTGGGCTGTGGGGTGTGTTTGCCTCTCCTGCATCATGCAGGAGGCACCTCTGAGAAAGTCCTCTGGCCTGTCTAGGCCCCTCTTTTAGGCCGTCCTCTTCACTCTTTGATGTCGTGCTGGAGGCAGCCTTCTCTGAGGAACTCATGTTCTCCTCATGCCACATCCTTGAAAATGAAGAACAAGTCTCTCTTGCTCTTGGGCCCTAATGCCTCCTGGGGCTTCTTCCCTGTCTTCCTTTGGGGTGCAGGGTGCTGGGTACACCTCAGAGAATCTCTGACTCTCAGCTGTAGCCACTTCTTGCTAATACTCTCCTACCAACTAGTCAGCTCCTGTACTTCTGAGTGAAACTTCCTTTTCCATGAACAGGAGCTCTTCCCCATGCTTGCTTGTGGGATGGACTATTAATGCCTCCTCTTCTTCACACTTTGGATCTTCATCTTCCCAACCAAGCTTTTTAAAAAATTTAAAACACTCTTCTCTCAGAGACTTTGGTCTTGCAATTGAAATAATGGTTTTCAAGACAATAATCTGCTACAGATGTATAAAAATCTACTTCAAAGTTTAAATGCAGAGGCCAAGGATTTGTATGCATTGTCCCTACCTCAAGAGCAGGTTTCTAGTAAGCTCTCCCTTGTGCTTGAATGGTGGAGGGGTGCGGAAAACCGATCGAAAAGTCTGTAACTCCGTGTCAAAGTATCCATCCTGCGATAGGGCTCTCCTGGGATTGGTGGGATTGTGGGTGACACCCACTCTTGTTTGGTTTGCAGTTTATGAATTTTTTACAATAATTTCTTTTATAACGGGAAATATAATGACAAAAGTTATTTTATAAATAAAAGGACACTTCCAGGCATTTACACCTGTAATGTTAAAGGTTTCTTTATTCACTTTTCTGCATATTTTGATTCCTTAGCACCCTCACAACCCCACCTCATCATGGCGAGTGGACTCTGGGAGAGGGGAGGGTAAGAGGTGGGGGCCGGCCTGGAAGCAATTTTAAGAGGGAGAGGCAATATGGACATCTACTTCTCCATCAAGGAGGGGAGTGAGGTAGACCCCCACTTGGCTACCCTTGGGGTGAGGCTGTGGCTTCTGCATCACCTTAAAGGACAGTGTCTTTTTCTCTTTAACACAAGGAATTGGACTTTGTTAGCATTGTTATTGGCATTATATCACATAGGAACTGATCTTTATCATGCATAACTCCACACAGCTTTGAGAAGATAAATCAGAGCAGAACTAGAATCAACCTGGAATTTCACACAAAGGTTGGAAGTTCACTTGACAAAAAAGATAAAAAGAAAATTCCTTTTTACCTCTTAACAAAGCAACAGCTCTTAAGCAGCAGAGCATTTCAAATATGGAAGTTTGCACCTTCCCGCCACGCTTGAGTCCCCGACCATGCCAGGTATTTCTTGAATTTTTTAAAAAAGCTTAAAGATTTCATGTCTGTCTTTTATGGTACTTTATGTTCTCATCTTTTATTCTTCTGAATTTTGAATTTTGTGAAAGCATTAGCAAAATAATTGCAAGTTAGTGTCTTGCATAAGATTGAGTGGGGCAGCCCAGCTTTTACCCCGCCATCCTCTTGGAGCTGGGGACGGAGTCTGCGGCTGATGTGTTTGCCTTGGCCCAGCCCGGGGGGGTCTATGAGAATTGGGCTGGCTCCGGTAGGGTGAGAAGGCTGGTCCCGAGCTGGAGCCCCTTCTCACAGACATCCTCCAGAAGACACTGACACAACTGCGCCTCACACCCAGAGAGGACAGAAGTGGCTCTGGCTTGGGACTGTGGTTACAGATAGGCTGGACAAGACAACACAGGGCACAAGTTGCGGGTTCATGGTCCACCAGCTTAAGGTCCTTTTGAGGAAAGAAGAAGGGGGAAGGCAAGCATGGGTGTGAAGGCTTCTCTTCAGTGGGGGCAGGGAGCTTGAAGAGGAGGCTTGTCATGAGGGAGATCTCTGGAGTTCTGGAGATGGCCTCACTGGGCCTCACTCAGCTCCCCCTGTGCAGCCGAGGAGAATAAGGGCCAGTTGATGGCAGAGTTGGGACCAGGGCTCAGGCCTCCTGTCCCAACCCACTCTTCTTTCTGTTTCAACAGGGATAGAAGGCCCAGCTCTTCCTGGTGCTGGGGAAAGGTGGCTGCCGCAGTCTCCTGGGCAGCTCCTTGGACCCCCAGGTCCTACTAGCTGTCATCAGTGGGGGAGCGATAATATCGAACTGGTCCCTGTGGGACAGGCCTGGATTGGGGCAGACATTTCCTTTCCATTTCCTCCCCACCACCTCCCATAGGGGCTTGTGATTCTGGAGGGTATGAGGAGCAGGGCTGGGCTCCCTCTCAGACGGAAGAGGTGGACCCTGGGGTGTGAGCTCCGAGAGGGCAGGGAGCTCACTGCTTTATTAAGAATTCTAGCCCTTGCCCTTAGAAGGTGGCCTGCCACAGGCACTCACTACATTTTTAAAAAGTGAGTGAAAGAATGAATAAATGGCCATGGTGTTAGGGGCTGGCTCCAAGCAGGATTGTAAATTGGACCAAGTTTGTTTACCAGGGACTTTAGATACACTGTTGTTATATCTGTCCCTCTCAGGGTCACTGCCCTGCCCTGAGGCACCTGATCGCAGAGGCTGTGGGGGCCCAACCCTCCATCCTAAGGTGCTACCTCTGACTTATACAATGATAGGGAGGGAAAGGCGGCTCAGGAAGGAGGGTCAGATGATGGTGCAGCTCCTTGCACCTGAGGGGATGACATTTTGGGGCAGCAAAGTCTGATTTCCCCTGAGTTATAGGAAAGGTTGGCTTTGGTCTGAACACATCAAATAGTGAAGATCAGGAAATCCAGAGCACGAGCTATGGGGGAGCCTCAGGATCCTTGAGCTGAGGCCTGTGAGGGGGGCCTCTCCCTGCTTGGGAAGCAGAGGAGCCCCCTCCCGATGGATGCAGGACCCACCCCCTCTCCTACCCCCAGTTGGGGGCCTGGACTCACCTGGCTGCAGCTTTGAGTCCTCATTAGAAGTGGGGGCTGTGGACACACTGGAGAGGACTGATCGTGGTTGCACACACCCCCAGGGCCTGCCACAGGGACAGCATTAGGATTTTGCACCCCATTCCCTATTCCCTGTTCAGAGGGGGACCGGAGGATCCTCCTAGAAGGGGCAGCTCTCCTTCCACCTGCCCCCCGGTTGACGTGACTTCCTTGACCCTCTCAGGCCATGCCCTAAACCATGGACTTTCAGCCTTCTGGATTTAGAGCCGGAGGAGGTGGGATGCTCTGCTTAGCCCAGGACATCCATTTTGTGCGCGCGCGCGCGCGCACACACACACACACACACACACACACCTCTGAACAATCCTGTTCCACAATGCACATCAAACCCCACTCCTTACAGCTGCCCTTTCCCTTTCCAGATTCTTCCTTTTTCATTCTTTTTGGCTTTTTCTTGACCCCTCTGAGTCTGCCTTTTCTATATTAAAACAATGGGGGGAGGGAGCTGCCCTGGACCCAGAGAGGGGGCCTCTGCGGATCATGGGCCAAAGAGAGTGGGGGTCTCCGGGAGCTGGGGAAAGTCCTAGGACCATCTGATAGAGGAGGGCTTACCTGGCAGGTGGTGCGGGCATCCCAGCCCCTGGTCATCAGGCTCTGCAGCTGCAGTAAGTGCTGCTCCACGAACTGCTCACACTGAGGAAGGAGACAGACAGGGTGTGGATGGACCCAGGCCCGTTGCAGGACTGTTCTGCCTTGTGCTGTCCTGGCCTCTCTATGTATTTGGATCACTTCAGGGCTCCCTCTGACCCCACGCAGGTCCAGGCATCAGCCCCCTGAGCAGCTGCCATGGGCTGAAATGTAGGTATCTCTGGAGATAGCTAGAGACATTGGACCGAGGGTCCCGAAATCCAGGCAGAGGGCCAGAATCTTAACTGCCAGCATGCCTCCACCCAAATTTCAGTTCTAGAAGAAATCTTAGAGCTCATCTGGTCCTTGAGACCTGATGTGCTGGGCAGTGAAGAGCCCTGGAAGTTACTGACCAGGAGCACCAGTTCAGAAAGCTGCCTCCTGGGATCTATCTTATTTATGAAGGGAGTTTACCGTCATCGATTCTTAGTACTGTGATTCTAGGACCTCTCCTTTTGCAGGTGGGTTTGTCCCTAGTGAGTCACACTGGGAAGAGGGGTAGGGCTGGGACAGGATGGAGACAGGCCCAGCACCACAGAGAAGAGGCCAAGCCTCCTCCTGCTCCACTTGGCCCCGGTTATCTCCTGACAGATAACGGGCCTCGCACTTCATCCATGAGGAAGGACTGCCCACGCCTTTCGTCCAGAGGCCGCTCCTGACTGCGGTAGGTTTTGCCCTATTATGGTCTCACCGTTATTTGGCCCATGTCCTGTCTGAGCTCCTCAAGGGCAGGGGTCCGGCCCACTTTTTGTGTCTCTGGCTGGGAAGCCTTTCCTGGCTCAACCCTCCAAAGCGGGCAGACCCTGGGTCCCGAGTCCCCATCGCCTGCCCCTACCTTTTGCCTGTCCATCCAAGAGCCGAGGCAGGCCTGGCGCATTGCCTCTGGTGCAGTCTGCTCACTGCTGTTCCCTGCCTGGGTGGTCACGAACATGCAGAGGTGGCACTGGGAGTCTTGCGGTAGCCATTCTCCCGGCAAGGACCCCAGAGCGGTGAGGCCTAGAGAGGAAACAGTCAAGGTTGCCCTACTGAGGCGCTCAGTTCCTGTCCTCCCTGCTGCATGCAAGGGGACCATAGAGGGAGGGGTCCTGCAGGGCTGGGGGAGAGGGGATGAGAGTGGGCAATGTCAGGGCTGGGGCAGCAGGCTCACCTGGGTTATTGCCATTCTCGCTGGAGCACCGGAGGACAAGGCCACAGACCAGCTGGGGCAGCATGTGGTCCATCAGACTGTCCAACAGGATGACAGTGTAGCGCTGGGCCAGGCATTGACAGATGCCACCCGCCACCAGGGGTACCACGTGGCACACCTGGGCCACAGCCCCGGCCAGCACACCCTGGGGTGGGGGGGCGGCGAGAGAAGGTGGGATGGAACCTTCCCTTGCAAGGTCTACCCCGTGCTGGCATCAGATAGGCACTTGGTAGACGTTCCCTTGTTTCCTTCTGAGAATTATTATGCTGTTTACAGATAAGGACATGGAGCATCATAGAGTCCAGGGAACTTGCTCAGAGTCAATAAGGGAGCTCAGGAGCCAGGCTGTGGACCCAGCTCTGACTCTAAACACTGAAATTGCCAAAAGGGTCACAGCTAGCCCAGAGATGTGAGCATCGCCAAGGTCACACGACAGCCTAGGGGGAGGTGGAACCATATCTGTGTCTTCTCCCTCCTGACCCACAGGATTAGTCTGTGGCTCCCAGAGCCAGCACCTAGAATGTCCCTGGTTTTGGGGGCTTTGGGGGAAGCCAGGTGTTTCCTACTCACCTCAATTCCAAACACAAGGTTTGAGCTGAAGGGCAGGGAGGGAAGTGGCAAGCACACTGGCTCATGCCTTCACCCCTTCATTCACTCAACTAATACATGTAAAAGACCTGCATACAACAGGCTGGCCTTGGCCCTGTGGGGAGTAGGCACAGGAAAGTGTATTCTCTGGGATGTGACACCTTCCAATGAGTACATTTTACCAAATGTACCCACCTGCTTCCATGGGAACCCACACTTATCTTCCCCTCCTGCAATGACAGGTGGGTGATCCTTGCTCTGTCAAAGGCCAGCCCATCCACTTGTGCACTGGGTCAACCTGTCCCCACCTTCACAAATGCTTCTCCCTGCATCATCCTCTTGGTCTTGCCTAGTTACTTCCCCCAGTGATGAATGGGACTCGGGGAGTGAGTCTCATTCTGCGCAGTGATCAGTCTCATCGGCTTATGAACATGCTAACATGGATTCCAGCATTAAAAAGCCTCACCCATCTCTACTCTCCTTCCCAGAAAGACTTCTTGAAAGACTTGTCCATATTTGCTGCTCCACTTCTTCCCCTCCCTTCTCCTTAGAGCCCACTCCATTTGGGCTTCTGTCTCCACCCAAACAGCTCTCAAGGTCACAACAACCTCTGGTCATGTCCTGTCTTGATCCTCCAGCAGCCTTCAGCCCAGTTCACCACTCCCTCCTTCTCTAAATACTCTCTTCTTTTAGCTTCTGTGACATCAACCATGGTCTCCATCCCCCCGCCCTGTCCCCATTTCACTGGCCGTTCCTCCTCAGGCTCTTTATCTGGCCCATGCCTTTGCTTGACCAGGCCTTCCCCACCATGTCCCAGGGTGATCCCGCCCATTCCCTTGGATTTGGATTTTTCCGTAGCCAGCGACTCTCAGATTGCTGCTGTGACCTGACCTGTCCCCTAAGTCTGGGTGTTCGGCTGTCTGCTTGACATACCCTCTTGTGTATCGTACAGGCATTTCGAACAACACGCGTAGGAAAGAACTCTTTGTTTTTCTGCTCAAGCCGGTTTCCTCTCAAGTTTATCCACCCCAGCTGGTGATTCCCCGAGCCAAAGTCCATAGAGTCATCACTGGTTCCTCTCTTGTGCTCACTCCCCAAGTCTCATTCATCACCAAGTCCCGTTGCCAGCCTCACCAACATACCCCAGTCTATCTTCTCGTTTCCATCCCTTCCTCTATCCTCTCTCATTTCAATTTCTTCAGAATCTCCTAATTATTTTTCTTGCTTTCATCTTCTTCCCAGCGGCCTGATGCGTTCTTTAAACAGCAGGAGAGCGATCTTTCTAAAGTGTAAATCAGATCATGGTGTCCCCTGCTTGAAACCCTTCACTAACTGTAAATTACGTTCAGAATAAAATCCAGTGTTTCTTAACTCAGCTTAGACCTTTCTGTATGGCTTCGCTGTGACTACCTCTCTGCTTTCTTCTCTGACCACTCTCCCCCTGGCCTGCCTGCTGGAGCCACACTGGCTCTCTGTTTCTCAAGCTTGCCAAGCTCATTCTTGACAGAGAATCTTTATCCATCAGGGCTTTGTTGACCTCTAGGTCTCAGCTAAATTGTCACTTCCTCAGAGACTCTCCCTGACCAACCAGCCTAACCCCCACTCTCCTGTCACCGTCCGTCACCTCATTTTGATTTTATTTGTGACTAGACTGGGCAATCTGAGCTGCCCTTCCTTTGTCCCCAGTGCCCCTCTCTGTGCCTTCACCCACTCACCCAGCTATCCACCCACAGCCGGAGTGACCCAGCTGTCATCCAGAAGACCTGGGTTTCCCTAAGGGATCTCCTGGGTCCTGGAGTCCTGCAGCTGTGAGAGGTCACCAAGCCCTGACTGTGGGTCTCTAAGAAGGTGGCCTGGTACTTCTTATGTAGCAATAAGGAAAGACAAGCTCAGTGGTGACCAGGGAGTCGCTTTCCACGGGCTCCTTTCTTAGCGTGGACCCGCTGTCACAGCTCCTAGCTATGGCGGACAGAAGGAGGGTGGCAATGGACAGCAGTGGGCCCAGCCCCTCCTGGAAGGACTGACCATAGCTGCTAATGTAGATTGGGGTGTTGGCCCCAGCAGGTACTTCCTCAGCCCAGAGCCTGGGTCCCAGAGTCTTCCTCCCAGCACCTAACACTTGCCACCTCCTCTTTCACCAGCCTACATCCTAAACCTTCAAGCTGGCTCCAACCCCTGCCTGGATGCCTGTCCATAGTTGCCCACTCTTTATGGAGCCTTGGAGCAGAGATGCTGAATTGTAAGCAGCCTGTTTGGGATTAGGGTGAGGTTTTTTTTGGAGCATCGTGGCCAGGGATATAGCTTGGGTCTGCTCAGGGGCTTGCCCAAAGAGTGGAGGACTGCTCACCTCATCTGTTTTAATTCTCTGCTCTGAACCTATCACTGTCTGAAAAAAATCTCTCCACCACAATGCAAACTCGGGAAAACAGGGACCTCGTCTGCTGCTGTGAGTCCTCAGTGACCAGATAGCCTGTGGGTGCCCATCTGAGAGGGGCCGATGGGGCAGAGCCTCTGCTCACTTGGGCCCTATTTCAGAGCAGGGCAGCACTGGGCGATGGTCACTACACGTCTGGAAGTTTCCAACTTCCGTACAGGAAGGGAAGGGAGTCCATCTGTGGAAGTTCTCCTTTTGAAAAATTAAAGCACCCTTTCTATAGAGACCACTGGGGATTCTTCTCCACCAGGTGCTGGGCTGCTGGAGGACAAGACTGGGTCTCATTCTTTTTTGTGCTTTGACACCTGGCATAGTGCCTGCTTGGCATAGAATGGGCACCTAACGTTTGCGGAGTGAACTCTAGACCTGGCACCTACCGGGCCTGACCCTGAGCTCCAGGGTCCTCAGGATGGGGACAATGCACAAATGGCTCTCCTTCTAACTTCTGGCTGCCAGCTGGCCCCTGACAGGGGTGTGAGGAGGAGGGGGAAGGTGGAGCTGAGGGGAACCTCACCTTGGGAATCATGGCTTGGATCCGCTTGATCAAAGTCCTGCAGAGCCAGCAGAAGGGGAGAGGGATGGGGAACTGCTGCTCGGAGAGAGCCTGGGGGAGAGAATGACCAGGGCAAGCTGGGCCGGGCACTGACTGAAGCCTCCTCCAGGCTCTGCCTTCCCTTCTTCCCCTCCTGCCTCAGGCCCTGCCTAGAACTACTGCTCTCCCTTCTGGTTCTGTCCCTCCCAGGGCCCAAGTGCTCATGCGCCTCGGCTATGTCCTAGCTCTCTGGATCCTCACCTATCTGGTTTGAGGGATCACCAGTGTGGGGCCTCCCTCACCTGTGTCTGAGGCCTGGGCCTCGCCTGGAGAGCCTCAGGCAGCACAGGGAGGACCAGCTGGTCCAGCAGAGGGTCCGGCAGCTCTGGCTCCTGCCCTGGCTCAGGATGCCCAGCTCTGCAGAGGCCGAGGTACTTGCAGATAGCCCTGGGGTTCTAGGGAACAATGCAAAGTGAGGGGGTGCTGAGGGTGGGGGAGGGAACTGCATTTCTGCTTAGGCTGGCTCAAGGACTCAGGGACCAGGCCCACTGTCTTTGAGCGTGGAATAGGGGAGAAGGCTGGGTGGGGCTATGGTTTAGAACTCTGTAGTGGACATGAGGGAGACAAAAAGGCAGAGATGGGGCCGTGTAAGGATTTTGGGGCAGGTGTCTGGGAATGTGCATGAATGAGTGCGAGCATGTATATTTGTGAGAATGAAAGAGTGATACATGTATGTGCGAGTGTGTAACAGGTGAGTTACAGTGGAATCGAGTGTGAATGAGTGTGTGACAGTGTATGCTCATGTGAAGGGTGTGAGGGTGTGTGTGGTGTTGGTGAGTGTGCAGGCCCGCTGTGTACAGCTGAGCAGATGGGCTGAGAGCTGGGCCCCTGGTTGATGGGCACTGTGTTTCTTGGACTGGTTGTGGGCAGGGTCTGTGTGCGTGTGGTGGGCCAGGTGCTGTGGGTGTGGGTGGGCATGGGAGTTGTGTGGGCAGCAGGTCGGTGGGCCCTCACGATCTGGCTCTGGAAGTAGTCGATGACCAGTGGGAAGTAGAGGTCGAGTACATGGCGGCACTGGGGCACCAGCAGCTTCAAGGGGAGGAGGTCACATTCATGCTCCAGGAACTTCTGCGTCATGTTCTGGGAGGCAGGTGGGAGTTGACAAGGTTGGACAGGGGACAGACAGTCGGCCCAGCCTTCCTGAGGTCTGCCTCTGCCCAAGTCCCTGCATGCCGGGCCACCACCTGACAGACCGGCCACCTTTTCCCCGGGGCACTGGAGTTCAGAGAGCGCCGAGGACTTAAGTGGCTGGGCACAAGGGGGGCCTCTTCCCCCTCCAGAATAACCATCTCCAGCTGTGCTGCTGAGCTTCTTCCTAGAGCTCTCTCCCAACCAGGAGGCACCTGGAGTCCCCCAGCAATCCCAGGGCTCACCCGCATCCTGGAAATGGCCCCTTTAAGGGGTTAACCTCTTCTTCCTGCTCTGTCCCCTATCTCTGTCCTCCCAGCTCCATCCAGGGTCTGGGCCTCGTCACCTGGAAAATGGCCTCCTTGGTCATCTTGGTGAGGATTTCGGTGATGTCCTCACATTCCTGGCACAGGTCATCCTGGGGAGGGGGCACACAGTGGGGGGGACGTGAGTGGGGGGCATGCTCCCAGCTCAGGTAGGTGAGGCTCTTAGATGTGTGGAGAATGATAGGGCACTCCAAGGCACAGGTAACTGCACACCATCACATTCTATCCAATCCCATCCCACCCCATTCCGTCCCCTATGGGAGGTCCAATCCCTCAGGCCCACCCAGAGCCTACCCAGCACCCTCTACCCCAGACCTTCAAGCCAATGCATCTTTGGGTGGTACTCACGACTCCCGCATGTCCCCAGACCTCCTGCAGGCAGTGCCCTAGTTTTCTGCACTGCAGTGCTTGCTCCAGGCTTTGGCACCAAAACACAGGGCCCTGGGCACAGGCCAGGGGCAGGGTGGTCCCGACAGCTGCTGTTTGGGGCCAGAACCGTCTTGGGATCCAGGCCACACCTGGCACCCTGACCTTACCCCACTGCCAAACCCAGTTTTATTGGTAATGCATGGCCGTTAAATATACTACAGTCAGACAGCTCTGGGGCACCTGCTCTAGTGCCACCAGCTGTGTGACCTTGCACAAGCCCTGGAGCCTCTCTAAACCTCACCTTCCCCATCTCTAAAATGAGGCTACTATACAGACTAGGGAAATGCCTAGCATAGAGCCAGAGCTCAGTAAACAGTGGAGATGGCCTCGATGCCCCTCCACACCAGCCTCAGGTGGGAGGGAGGTGGGAAGAGGTTGGAAGACTCACCAGCACCTGGGCCACAGAGCGTGGACAGCAGCAGCAGCCAGAGCAGCAGGTGCGACTTGGCCATGACGCCTCCACAGCCTGGACGCTGTTTGGGGCCCTTATAGCTGCGGGCAGGGGTATGGAGGAGGGTCCATGTGGGAGCAGCAGTGACCTTAGTGTTTGCCTTTGTCCTGGAGAGCCCTCCAGGTGCTTTGATCCTACCTTTTCCCAGCAGTGACACTCCTAGCCGT